TTCTTAAAAGGCAAAATTTGAATGAGGTAAACATGGTTTAGACTTTTGCTTGTCTTAGGAAAAAAAAAATGCAACCACTGATCCAAGTTATGAAAAAATAGCTAATGGGCATAATTGGAAACTACTTTCCATAAGCATCTCCTGTTGTTGTTGTTTGGTAGGCAAGATGAAGCAGAGGTGTTTTCCAGTTTACACAGTAGTGATTATATGTTTGCTAAGTAATATAGTAGTCTGAATAAATCTCAGCTGGTAGACCTGCAAGTTAATTTAAATGACTGTTAAAGATAGAGGGTATGATTCTGATTACCAATATAAAGTTATGTAGGGGTAGGTTACCCACCTAGGTCTTGCATGCTGAAGACTCCCCAGCTCCCAGAACCAGCTCTTCCACTTTTCTCTATAAGTAACCTTGTCTACTGGCGTCTTCTGTGAATGTAAAACAGCTCATGCGTTTCTGTGACCAGGAGTATATTTATAGTTCTTGGAAAAAGGGTCAGTGGATCAATATTAAGGAACACATCAATTTTCCAAATACAGTTGGTAGCATGTTTCCTGATTTTAGGATAATGTGTGTGTAGTGAATAAGGCATGCGTAGTGTTCTTAAAAGGTGTGTGGCAGAAAGACATTCAAAGGCACCGTTTTTTAAGCTTTAAGGTATTCTTGTGACCCAGTTCTGACACTTTTATATTTTCCATAAAGGATAAACAATACCCAATGGTGATGTATGGTTGCATTTCAGTCAAAGGTTGCAATTGCAAATGTGAACTTAAAGTGATTTTTTTTTTAACCACTGGAATTTTTGACAGCACAGATGTATTATATGCAATGCAAGTTCGTGTTTTTAATACATTTTGTTAAAGTGCTATTATTTTATGTTCATAAGAATAGCCTGCTATTTTTTAAGCTGGTAATGTGTTTGTTTTGATGTCATGTTACTAGTATTTTTGAATAGGCAGCTAGAAAGTTTATTGAGAAATAATTATTTTTTCAGATAAAGTTCATTCCATAATAGCTTGCTGTATTGTTGACTGAATCACAAATTAATGCGGCTCCCCTTGAATGAGAAGTTTTTTCTTTGATTTACTTTTACTGTCTGCAGGACAACCTCAGAATTTTGAATTCTAAATAATTGAGAGAAAAGAAACCAAGGATCTAAAATTTACTATTTATAACTAATTTAAAAGTTGTATTGTACTCTTGTTTTATTTCCTTGAACCACAACACTATGGAATCTCAGCATAATTCCACCCCCACCCCTAACTCCGTAGCATTTTACATAGCATGTTGTTCTGATAGATTTTGTTCATTTTCATAGAATCATTACCATAGAATCGTTATGGCTGGAAAAGACCTTTAAGATCATCAAGTCCAACTGTTACCTAACTCTGCTGAGCCCCCTTCTAAACCATGTCCCTGAGCACCATATCTAGATGGCTGTCAAATACATCCAAGAATGGGGCTTCACCCACTTCCCTGGGCAGCCTGTTCCAGTCTTTGATAACCTTTTCAGCGTAGACGTTTTTCCTGATGTATAACCTAAACCTCCCCTGGTGCAACTTTGGTCTGTATCTTTTTAAAATGCATCTTTGGAATTGGGTATATTGAGGAAGATGCTTTGTAACACCACGTGACAGTAGAAATTAATTAAGCTTGTGAGATATCATTGATGTTGCTTATTTAGTGCAGCAACTTTACTTCTTGTCCAATTGGATTAGTGGAACTCAGTACTTCAAAATTTGTTTTGGACTTGAGTAACTACAAGCCAACCTGCTGCTGCTTCTCTGCATGCCACTGTCATTTCTCCTCTTTAGAGCCTTACACTTTGAAGTTCTTTTTGTTTTATTCTAAAGTATTTTTTTATGACAAGCATATATACTTGTGCTGGCCAGTACTTATGTTGTAGTAATGTGAATTTTCATTTATCAGGCAGCTTTACAGTCTCAGAATGTTTTTAGTTAGTGGATTGGACGCCGTCAAACAGATTTTGGCAAAAATTGCTTTGTAAAATTCACTGACTTAATGCATTCCTCCGGATGGCACATTGGCACAGTCCCCTCCCAAAAGTACAGCAGCTGAAAACCCTATTTTTTTTTGGCTGTTAAATAATTCTTGTGGTGTGTTTGAGGTGTGTTCAACAGAAGCAAAATCAGTTTGTAAAAAAGCTTCATTTGATACATTGTCTTAATGCTCCAACTGCTTTTCTAAACCCGCTTTTGCAGAATGCAAAGCCTCAGTGCATTGAGAATGTCAGCAGAGCTGGAATTACTGGTCACGTGCTGGTTTGAAAACAGTAAAACATTTTGAACTGCAGCAGCTGAAGGGAAAAGGTGAAACATGCCCGTTCTATAAATAGCTTCTGCAGCGAACACACTTTTCTGCTTGCAACTCTTTTGTCTCTAGGTAATAATGAGCAAGCTTTTTAGTTTGCAAGAGAAACGTTAGTTTTCTTGGTTTTTTTTAATGTATAAATATTTCCAGCAAATGTTTCTAACTTTGAGTAAAAGAGGAATCTTCCATTTGAAGGGTAGTGCCTATTTGGAGTGAGCGCTTGCAGTTTTTACCTGAAGAGACTCTTTCTGCTGCTTTGGATCTGTTAGTGAAATGCCATTATCTTGAAGACCCTGCACATGTGATTCTTTTCGCCTTCTTCCAGAAGCGTGTCACATCTCTCATCTTGGCAGGCTATAAGTTACTGCTGGCAAAAGCTTTCTAGCAAAGCACAGTGCAACAATTTTTTACCCACTACTAACTTTTCATGCTTTATTTGGAGAATATTAGATGGTTGGGTTAAAGATTAAAGCTGTGTCTGTGGGAGGGGAACAGCCCTCCCTGTTGAGTACTCCCTAGTGTTGGGGGCAGTGGAGAAGCTGGCATTTGATGTCTGGTGGGTTAAATTATGAAAACCCTTCCAGGGCTTGTGAGCTGAAATGTCCTGAATTGTTTTCTCTGGTGTGTTGAAACCTTCTTAAAGGTCATATTTACTAACAACCATTTCTTTATTTGAAAACACAAACAGAAAAAGAGAAGGAAAATAATATTTCATAATTACCAGGCGTAGACACCACTGCGGCATAGTTAATACAGAACTGCTGCATTTTAGCCTGCAAGGGCAGCTGATGTTTTTGTTTAAACCCTCTGTAATTTAAGAAGGGTAGGTTAAGTAACTTGACTGTATTAGTGCTGTCATTGTTTAGACCAGGATCTGTGTTTATAAATGTTGCTTGTAACATGAATTGTCAAAAAATCTCAATGGAGAGGGAGCAGTGTTTGTGTCTGAAGAGTGCAGGGACTTAAAGGCAGGCCTGCTGTTAACTCTAAATATTTCTGGAGGTGTTTATCTCTCTGGAAAGATTTTAATTTTTTGAATGCTTTATATACTGACAAATTAACAGTGATAATATTGTTGGAGTAGCTGGTTAGGCTTTTTTTTTTAAATCTGTTTAATAGAAAATTTTTCATTGGGTCTTTCTCTACTGGAATTAGTGGAAGTTCAGGTATTTATTAAGAGTAGGAAGGGGTGGGATCAGGCTCATTCAGTGTTCAAGTGTTAGGCTTTTCCTCAGCTCGTAGATGAGACATATGTATGTGTCATAGGAAGGTGGTATTAAAAAGAAAAATCTTCTGTGCAGTTTCTTTGGGACCACCAATTCAACTTTTACTGGGAATTAACCTGAAATAGTTTTAACCTGAAATAAGTTTTAATGAAGCCTCTCTTTGAGAGAAGGCACTTATAGGTGCTTGCTATGGCTACTTAAAATCCAAAGGGGAGGAGCTCATGATGTGAGGGGCAATTTTGCATCCCTTCTCTGTGCTAGTGTTGAGTGGAGACGAGAGGAAGACTATTGCGTATTCCTGGGTTTGTTTGTCCACCCCCCTTCCTCTCTGTGCGCTTTGCAGCTTACTGCCTCTTCAGCCTCGACTCTTAACTGCTTTAACTGGCAAACATCCTCCTGCAAAGTCGAGGTTAGTGTGTGCATATGACCTTCTTCAGGGCAGAGTATCAAAGTACAGCGGTTAAATGTAATCCAGACAGTGATGCTGACTGCACAACCTGCTCTGAAATGTACCGTGTAAACAAATGGAAAAAATGACTTTCCTCTTCAGTTCCTTGAGGAAAACTGGAGGAGCTTTTTAAAAACCAGCTGGAGATACAGCATTTTGGACTAAAGCGATGTATATATTTCTCTCTTTCCCCAGCTAATTTTCATGCGGTGCTGTTTCCTACAGTATACTTTTCTTGTATTTCAAGAATTCTAAATCAATTTTGGACTTTGAGAGACTGGTTTTGTATATTTCCATTATAAATAGTTAATATATAACACCTTACTTGTAGTGTCCATCCCAGATTTTATATGCACTGTATGTTCAAGTCTAATACTGGTATGGCATAAGAAATATAGTTGTATTGCCCTGTCTCTATGCCTCTGACTTAATGCTTGAGCCAGAATCAGTCATGCTTACATAAAATCCAAAAGAAACCCCCAAATTCTGCTATTCACTGATAAAGTATTGAGAGCCAAACCTGGGCAAACAGAAGTGGGTTTAGGTCTGATCTTCAGAGTTTGAGACCTTGGTTCAACAGGGTGCTTTGTCGACTAGCGGCATCTTTGCTGAAGTGAACATCTTTCTTACAGTATACCATTACTTATTACAATGCAAGAAAACCTAGCCCTTTTGCCTTCTGCTTTATTATGCTGAATGGAAAACAGCACCCTAATGCAGACTTCTGAAACATCGCACGTGTGTCTTATTCAGTATTATAAATCTGATATCCTGTTTATTGGTAGCTGCAGCAGTTTCCATCTCCAAAGAGCTACACAAACATAGCCATTCTACTGAATTGCTTGGGTGAAGGTGAGCTTTAACGTGAGCTCAGTGGTGGGAGAGGTGAAAGCAAAGAGGTTAAGTGACTTGTGTCAGTGAGTCTGTGGTAGAGTTGAGACTAGGACGTGGGTTCGTGCCACTAGAGTGCACTACTTCCCTCTTACTTCCTGAGAGAATGGTTAAATTTGCTGGTAGGTGCTGCAGGCTCCCTGGTGGGGGGTTTGGAAAATTGCTGCCAACTTGCTGAGTTGCTGGCAGATTCACATTGGTCCTAATCGCTTGGAGCACTCTTCTGCAGCTATCATTTACCAAATAAATGTTTTTCTTACTTTCAAACTTTTATGAATGTTGTGATGGAATGGAAAAGAGGGTTATAAACTAGATTTTTATCCCTCTTATGATTTTTCTCAGAGATGAAAAGAGTATATATGAAAAAAGGGTTAATCATATTTGTAATTAAAGCAAGTTCTTTAAGATATATAATTTTTCAGAAATAGATAATGAAATTTTATTAATGAAAGGGTTTTGATAATAAGATACAGTTTTTTACTACAATTATTAACTTCTCTTTTTTTCCCCCCACATAGGTTTCCACTTGAGTGGCACAGTGACAGAGCCTGCAATGCAATCGGAGCCAGAAACTGTTTGCAATGTAGCTATCAGCTTTGATCGTTGCAAGATTACCTCAGTGACCTGTAGCTGTGGAAACAAGGACATATTTTACTGTGCCCACGTTGTGGCACTCTCTTTATACCGGATCCGCAAGCCAGATCAGGTCAAACTGCATCTTCCCATTTCAGAGACGCTCTTTCAGATGAACAGAGACCAACTACAAAAATTTGTACAGTATTTGATCACAGTGCACCACACAGAAGTTTTGCCAACTGCTCAAAAACTAGCAGATGAAATTCTTTCTCAGAATTCAGAAATCAATCAAGTCCATGGTGAGTTTGATACTTGTTCTTCATTTTGCTTCCTTCCCTCTTTGGTTTTGAGTCTTGTGGCTTTCAGGAGTGTGACCTGCTGAGGTCCCTTCCAGCCATAATTACTCTGTGTTCCTGTGGTGTTTAGGAAAGAGGATTCTGTTATTGAACTTTTGCTTTAAGATGTTTAGGAAGGAGTGCTTTTTGGAAAAGAGAAAAGAATTCATAAGCAATGAGCTTCTTGTCCCCAGCGCTGTTAATATGTGGCCTGATCTGCTTCATGCTTGTATTTTCCAGCTATGAAAACATGAGTAGTGGTGTTCTTTGTGTAGCCACATTGCTTAAAGGAACTGTCTTACCAATGGCATTTTTTGTTTTTCTTTTTGAACTAATCTTCTGACATTTTGATTGTGTAATTTTGTTTTAATGGCAAAGCATAAAAGTAAGTAGGTGTTACTGTTTTCTTTCATTCATTAAATATACTTGTATTATCGTTCAGGATTTGGTTTCTGTATGAAGTCAGAAGAAATAAAAACCTGTATTTTCAATGCCTTTTTCCTGTTAGTGCTGCAGCAGCCTACAGCACCAGCAAAGGTCTTGGTCCTTTCTGCTCTTTCTGCTGCATGCAGTTTTAATGGCTCTCAGATTTTTGTACTGAACATCTTATGTTTTTTAGAGGGTGCTGGGTATGACTTGAGGCTTCTAAGGTGGCTTTTCTATGGATCCTGCGGAATTGAAAGTGGGTAATTGTGGGTTTGAGCTGACCCAGCTACTTTATTAGAGTAATATCGCCTGATAGAAATGTTCTCTAAGGTGACCAGAACTGTAAGCATAAGGGCAGCTTGGAGGGGAAGAATAAGTTATCTAAATATCTGAAAACACATTTTTTTGGTTTGTTCATTGACAGGAACCGTTCTTGTGTTAGATATTTAAGAGCAATGACCACTATTACGAAGAATTTGCAATACAAACACAACCAAGCTCCTTAACATAAGAGGAAGAAAAGCATGTGTGTGTTAGAGTCTAGGAAGAACAAAATGGAGTCTTTCCAAGAACAGGAGTCATTTGCAGCCTAGCCCCTCTCCTTAAGGTCTGGTGACCCTTGCAGGCCCAGTCAGGCAGTGCTGCAAGAAGGTGAATTTCAGGAGCAGTGTTCTCTTTTGGCTTTGTGGCCTATAGGGATGTAGCCAGTGGCAAGGCTGTTGCTCTAGTTGTTATGGAACACAATGAGAATGTGATTGGCAGAGTTGCCTGGTGATGACAGAAAGAAAGGGAAGCTAAAAAGCAGATGCAGGGCATTAAGCAATAGAGGAAGATGCTCAGATGTTGTAAGCTGAAGTCACATATCGCATGAGAGTTGGTAATAGCCTGAGCATAAGGAATTCAGGGGAAGGAAGAATTATGGTGAGTATGAGTGGCACAGAAGATTCAGTCAAGGGTGATTAGAAAAGGGGAAGGCAAGGGTGGGAAAGGAAGGACAGGTGGTGGCTATATATGACTGTATTAGCTATACTATGGCTAATGTGTGAGAAATGACAAGCTGTTGCAGAGAGTGCTTAAACTTAATCAAGTCTGTAATTATATTAATCATAGGCATGTTAGTCTTTGTCAGCTATTTTCTTATTGTCAAAATATCTCATTACTCATTACCATTTAAAGTATTTTTAGAGAGATATTTGATGTTTATATCACAGCCCAAATAGCAAAAAGAAAAGCAAACAAAAAACTAGCTGATGATCCATTATGATATTTCACAATGAATTTGAGTGGGGTAGTTTAAAAATGTCCACAAAAACTAAAATGCTTCTTACGTCTGTTACTGTTTTCCTAATAAGTGAGATTGCAGTATGTCTTTATTGACTGTTGGTATTTCTTAATAAAATACCAAAAACTGAAGTAGAAAATCCAGGCAGTGTAAGAAAATAAACTGAAAATATTATCAAAGAAAGCTGGGTTATACAAGAGAATCTATAGTCTCCTTTTCCTCTGAATGCCATAAAACAATGGTCTCATTTTCTTATGTTTACAATGCTAAAAAATTGCAGGATTCTTTTAAGGAAAAAGCAAGTTCCTCTGATTATGTAGGAAGTAAGTGTTGTTCTGGGATTCATAGTGTAATTCTGTTATTTTGATCTTTAATCAAATTCCTTAAATTAAAAAGAATACAGTTAATCAAAAGAAATCTATGAAAAGTAACTAAAAGAAATCTATCTCTAATAGTTCTAATAGTATAGGCTGGTGAACATAAGATCACCGCTCAGTCTGTCGTATCTCCTGTGCTGCAGACATTCAGTTTGTAATACAAAACTGTGTTGTAGACCTGTCTTGCACTGAACAGTTTAACCTCAAACTATTGTTTGAAGAGGGATTATATTGAACAGTGCTTGAAGGCACAGGTAAGTGAGAGGAAAAACTTACAGAAACTTTCTTATAAAAGTTAGAGGAGACCTGGCACAGAAACGCCAGAAACAGCTTTGATCAAAGGGACGTCCTGTATCTGGAGTTGGATGAGAAAATTCTTTTCAGTGTAACTTAGAAATGTTTTAATTTCCAGGTTGTTCTATGTAAAACATCAATTTTTTAATACTTTCTTCTCTCAGTGACTGTACTACTTCTAGTTTTCATGTATTTCCAGTGATAAGCGAAAGAAATCAGCTCTTGAATACTCTTTATTCGTACACAAGAATGATCTCAGACTTTGAAGAGCTCTGACCACAGCGTCTTGTTGACTTGCTTATGAGGTGGCTAGGGAGATGGAGCAACTGCAGTACTCTCCTTTCACAGAAGGTGAAAGGAGTAATTGTTCATTTGCTCAAAATTCTGTCTGCAGCATTTGATGACTGGCTTTGGCTGCTTTCTTTGTGAAGGAGGTTACTGGGGGATCTAGTGAAGTGACTTACACTGATGACACAGGTTTTGAAATGACAAATCTCTTGGAGTTCCTGGCTAGGTAGAAATGATGCAGTATCCTTTGTTGCTTCATGGCTGAGCCTCACTGCAGGAAGAAATAAGAGGATGTGGTTAGCAGCACAGGAATGTGTTGTCTATTCACTAACTTCTTCAGGAGAGTGGAGTATTTTATTTGGAATCTGTATTTGCTATGCTAATTTTCATGTGGTGGTGATTACATTGCAAGACGGTTCTGCATGTTTTTAGAGCACAACAAGCATTTGATGACTTATGTTCTGATTTTTCTCATGTGACATTGTTGCAGCTGTACATATTCTGATTTCAAAACTGGAGGTCTGTGGGGTCTAATCTTCTGTACTGAAGACAACCCTTAGTTATTCATACTGGTACCCTGATGTCTGCACTGCGTAACTCGTGGCTTCATGTTGAGTTTCAATTTGGAGCTGCTGACTCAGGAAGCTGGATGTAGGTTTGGATCCTGGTTAGCTGAGGCTGACAGGTGTGTAAGCCTAGGAAGAGAACAGTCAGGATGATGGACTGTCAGCCAGGTTTGTCATCTTGGATCTGTCTTTTCTGAAGTATGAAGCTTTCACGTAAATTAATTGGTTGGAAGGTCAAACTATGGTCCTGAGGATTTCAGTGGAAATAGGAAAATAACTTGGGGGGGGGGGGCGGGGGAAGGTCTGTTTGCATATTAATCTGCTATTAGCATTGCTTTGTTATTGTATGCATAGTGGAAAAAGGTCCGCCTTTTATTGGTATAAGGACAGCTAGCAAACAATTTCATATTTACCTTTTCAGCTGTACTGTTTCTTTTCCTGAGTGCTTTTTGCTGCTATTGCAATCTCTATTCTTAAATGTCTATGTGGATTTCTCCAGACTTTCTCCCATTTTCTGATTTTCCAACCTGCAGTATGAGTTACTCACCAGTACAAAACCATGTACAGATGAACTCAAATTTAAAGAGGGAGGACCTGGGAGAAAGTGATTTAAGTAGACTTGTCTTCTCTGAAGCAGAGGTAGCTGGGCAGTTGTTTCTGTAATTGTCCAGGCAGATCTAGGTACATCCGCTGCAAACATTGACGTATATTAGGAGTGTTGGTTGAGGCATTCAAGAAGGAAACACGTAGCAAAAAGATTGCTTTAAAATAAAATTTCAGAGTACATAGGGCTGTTTGTATTCTGTTAAGTTCCAAAGGGCAGTCGGAGATACAGGTGAGTATGTGTTAATGTCAACTGAGTGTATTTAACTGAAATGGGCATTTTAGTGGAAAATTGTAGGGTAGGATAGGGCTGAACAACAGAATACAATGTATTGCCAATCTACTGGAAAAGCCAACATTTAATGTTAAAGAATGTTACTAAAAAACATGATGGAATCTTTCATATGACCCTGCTTAAACTGGCAAAATTGATTGAGAGACTAGTTGCAAAAGCAGAATGTAGGAAATGGCAAGTGAGCTTCCTTTCAAGAAGGATGAAAATAAAGTGCTCCTTCAATGCTTATGTATGATAACTGTTTAGTGAACCAGAATGGGAAGGAAGTAACAACAAGACTAGCCAAAACTAGAGACATTTCAGAAACCCAAGTAGATTGATAGCTGCAAAATAACATGAAAAAATAATTTATGAAATCTATATTTTTAGGAAAGTTTTTTTCCAGATACATTAAACACTAAAATAAAACTTGTTGTGTAGAAAATAAATAGTGAGAGTTTGTTTTGAGACATGGAAGGTAAAAATAAATGAAAATAATGCATGTGATACTGTACTGATAAGGAAGTTGTTTTATCTTCCACACCCATGTAGACTTCGAAACTTATTGCCATATAATGTTTGTGAGACATGGATTTTAGCAAGAGAGGTTAGATATTGTCAGCAGGTAGGTTTATGGATTTTGCTGATCGAAGACACAATTTTTTGGAAGTTAAAAACTTGTTGGGAATTTATTAACTTTCCTCAGCAACTTAGAGTAGCCTGTCCTGTCTTCATATTTTCTGTTGTTAGCACTGGCTGCTTCACAGCAGTTGCTGTTTTTCTTTGACAGGTGTTATTCCACCCAAGAGTTCTGAAATTAAGTACCAGATGAAGTGACTTACGTCTAAACTTTGAATCATTTGGGGAATCAAAGGCATAATAATATTTTTGAATCATTAATTTTATGATCATTAGTTCTATGTAATATTGTTTAGAATAATTCTGAGCACACTAAGTTTATAAAACCAATTACTATTCTGCTGTGAATCAGTGTACAGCAGTATTGGTTTCTAGCTGGGACCATTCAGTCTTTGCATAGTACTCAGTAAGTCATGCTTTTTATTTGTAATAACTTTTCCATATCTTCTCCTTAATGCTGCTGTGGGATGACGTTAAATAAAATTTAACTGGTCTACAGTTGATTTAAGATTATAAAATGAAGTTCAAAAAAGTTTCAGTATTGATATGAGTAACTTGCCATGTTTGTATTTGAAGACAACTCCTGTGATACTTCAGAAATAAGGATCAGGGAAGCGGATTACTATCTGTTGTTTTGATCAAATTTCACTGTTGATCTGCACCTGCGTAGTTTGCAATATAGGCAATTCTTAGCCTGTTTCAGTCAGCGGTCCTTGCTTTGCTTCTGCTTGCTTTTTGAGGTGAAGTTCTCCATATACAACACCAGTTCTTGAATGTGGTTGCTTATTTTGAAAGCAGTTGCTCTTAAAATTGCTGTGTAAATGATGAAAGTGTTTATTGCTTTGAAATGCTTCTGCTTCTTGGAACTTGGGAGTTCATTCTATTTAACATGTAATCTGCTATGGCCATAAATATAAAAGGCTGTTACCCTGTTTTCAAATTTTATTTGGGTGTTTAGTGCTACAGACAGTTTTGTACAGTATTCCTGCGTTGTTTGATAAGACTGCAATTTAGTAACTTCAGTAAAAGAGCATGACCAAGTATGCATGGCTGTATCTATATACTGAGTATAAATACTTTATTGTGTATAACTGTAAGTACCTGATGTAAAACCTGTTTCAAAGACCAGTCATGACAGAAGTTAAAACCAGAGGTGGGAGGGAGATTAATATGTTAGTGTCTGTAAAGTGACACAGTTTAATTACAGGTTTTAATAATTAGTATAATTATACAGTGCTTTTCACTTTCACAGTTCAAATGTGAACTAATTTATCCTCATGACACCCCTCTCAAGCATGTAAGTAATACTTATCCCTAGTTTACAAGTGGGCAACAGGATTTGGTCTTGGTACCAAACTGCACTACAGAGTTTAAATTCAGGACTGGCCATGTTCTCTCTGCAGCCAAACCATCCATTTGCCAAAGCCTCACAGTGCCTGTTTGGGGCTGTGCTGCACCCTGACCGAAGCCACCACCTTTGGGTTGAACCTTCCGCTCTGCCTGGTGTTGAGCCTGAGCCTTCCTTCAGGGTATTGCTAGGGCTTTGTCTTGCAGCTCCCTCCTGTTGCTTGTTCAGATAGTTCTTGTCTACTCACCTGGTTCCATATCTTTGGAAGAAAAGTGGCAGTGTGGAAATCCTCTGTGTTGCCCAAGAGTGATCTGTGTTTGAGTGGAAGAGGAAACAGTTTAGATAAATGAGTGTGCACCTGACTGTAAGTGAGTGCAGTGATCTTGAAAAGTGCCTGGTTGAGATACATGGAGATGGTTGTGTCTCGACCCCGAAACAAGAGTGACATGGGCAGGAGGGGAAACAGACTTCCCCAGCACCACCACTAGGATGCCTGTTGCTGCTGTGGTGGAAAGGTGATTTGGACTCATGCCTGATCAGACACGACATGTCTGTGCCTTCTTAGTCCATGGCTATTGCTGAAGACTGCCAACAGTGTTGGAAGATCAGTGAATTACAACTGTAGCTGGTGCTCGTTACATGTATATTGAAATTTCTTTATACATTTCAATTAAAAATTTTGATCATAGTGTAGCCTGTATAAGATCTTGTAAGGAAAAATCACTCTGTCAGAGGTATCTGTAGTACTGCAGTGAACAGCATCGTAGAGCTCAGACCCTCAACTTGATGTCTTCAGCTTTTACAGTCATCTAACCTCCTGGCATGAAAATAATGCTGGTGTAAGTATAGTGATGCTGAGCCCCTGGGGAAGGTATATTTGGGATCATGCTGGAAGAAGAGGCCTTGGTGAGAGCAGTGCTGCTGGCCAGGGGCAGTGGCCACCCTTGTTCCTGTAAAGGATCCCTGTTGTTAAAGAATCTGTGGTAGCTGTGTTGAAATTTAAGCTTCTAACACAAACTGATGAGCTTTTGATAAAATGTAAACAGTTACAGAAGGAATTTTGGTTCTTGCCCTAAATAGGGAAGCTTAGCTGAGGAATCTTGGGCTATTTTTAATTCAATTTAAAAGTAGCCATACCAAGATTATTTAAAGATAAATCTCCAATGAAGTGAAGGATAAATATAAGTTTATTTTAGATAATAGTGCTTTTATGTAATTTCTTTTCACAGGTCTTTTCTATGTGTTTTAGAGCAATGAAATATTTAAACTATTTGCAAGGTGATACTTCAAACCGGGGTCTGTGCAACAGCTGCACTGCCTGTTCTCATGTGGTTTATTTCCCTTTCTATCTTGTTCTTTGCAACTGAAGACTTACCAGCATGTATTTTGTGTAGCTGACTGAATTGAAAGCCCCTTAAAACTAACATACTGAAGATGGAAGCACTTGTAGAAGAGGAGGATTTTTCAGTTTTGGTTTTTCTGCTTTCTTGGTCTTGATTCCTGTCTTCTGAGACACTGTAATGGTTCATGTGGAAGGCAGGAGAGTTCATTCACATCTTCAAAGAGACAATTTCTTACTAATCTAAATGTGTGTGTGTGTATATATATATACACACACATCAGTGCAGTGTTCCCAGCTGTAGGCTCTACAGTTGAAGGCAGTTCAGTAAGTTGCTGAGCAGGAAGACTTTTTTTACTCTCTCAGCAATTAGTAGACAAGACATCTCTCTGACCCTTTAAATCTTCCGGTTGTATTTTCATTGAATAAAGATTCCAGCATTCCCTGTGACCGCTTAAAATCTTGACCTGCATGGCAGAGCTGCAATTGTGAAACAAAGGCTTGAATCAATAGAATCAATATTTAATTCCTGTACACCTGAAGAGTTGTAGCTATCTTCACTTTTCAAGTTCTCAGGACTTCTTTGAAAAAGCAAGTTTTTACAAATCTGACTCTCTAATTTTTGTTCCTTGCCTGTATCCTTTTTTTTTGCTTAGAGAGATAACATGGACTCAGATTTAAAAGTGATAGGTTGTGTAACGTGATTCAATGTCTAACATCTTATCAAAACCTAATGGAGATAGAGATTACCCAGTTATGACAAGCCCAAAATCAAAATGTCAAGTTAACTTGAGTCTTGAGCATGCTTAAAATACCTTATATCTGGTATCGTGATGCACTACCTTGAGTTGTTTCTGTGACAGTCTAGATAAGTGCTTTTCAGCCTTTTCAGTTTGAATACCTTTAAAAAAAATACTCATGGAGGTGCAAGCATCTTTAGAAAAATATAGCTTGCTAGATGGTGCAAGAACTTGTTTTAATTAATTTTATCAGCCTTTAGAAGAGGCCGCTGCTGGGAGAGAGATCAGCTCAACTCATCTCAACTGCAAAATTTGAGTTAGAGCAGCCTGTGGCCAAAGCAGTGCCTGATGTAAATATAGTCACTTCAGTTCACACTAGGCTAATTCAGATAGAGTTGCTCTGAATTGACTCTGCTGATGACATTGGCTGTGAAAATGCTCCTCTGGAAGAACCACAGTCTTACACAGCGGTAACTCTCATTTATGATGAAAATTTCTTTAGTGCTTTAAGAATTTGGATTTGTTTGGGGATTTCTTTTACTGTTTGTTTAGCTTTGCAGAGCCATCACAGCTCAGAGGCACGGAGGTGATGGATTTCCTCATTTTCATCAATAGCAGCGCTCACTAGCAGTCACTTAAACCTGAGCAAGATTGCCGAAGGTACAGGAATTGCACAGATGTTGTGGGGAGAGTGGTTTTAACATCACAGTTGTAGAAATGCTGTGCAAAGTCTAATTTTCCTTGTAAAAGCATTCTAGTATAGCTACTGAGATGGGAGGGAAAAAAACTCACCTTGATTTTAATGTTTTGTTATAGGATATTACTTATTTAAATACCTTTTCATAGGCTGTAGCTTCTAAGTGCTTAAGACTATTAAGGAGAAATCTAAGCCTGTTTTAAGGAATGTTTAGATTAAGGCCAAGACATCCAAAACACGACAAAACACAAATCCAAAACCCTCTGCTGTAGTCCTGTCCCCTGGACCTGTGAACCTTTCTTCTTTATATAGAACATAATGATTTCTTTCATTGCTGTTCGCAGGTGCTCCTGACCCAACAGCGGGTGCTAGCATAGATGATGAAAACTGCTGGCATTTGGATGAGGAACAGGTCCAAGAACAGGTTAAACTCTTCCTCTCCCAGGGCGGATACCATGGATCGGGGAAGCAGCTCAATTTGCTTTTTGCAAAGGTGTGTTGAGTACTCTAAACCTTCCCTTTTTTCTCTCCCCCATTCCCCAAGCCAGTCTGTACTTGTTTGGTCTTACTCAAAGTCCTGTTGTTCTGAAACAAGACAAAGCCTTGGGAACATGATGGCAACTTAATAATGAGTTGCATAGCAATGGACCACAATGTGGTGTGTCCTGAGATCAGTTTAAGGACATGAAGTAACATTTCAACTGTGTGCAGCTTTGCTGTTCTCTTCCTTTCCACCTCCAAAATGTTGGAGAAATCTGTAGAAATTAGTCTTGCAGCAGTTTGCATAATACACCTGTGGATTACTTGTTAAAGTGTCTCTGAAGAATTGCAATGGGATGCTGAAATCAAAGACTGTTAAAATTGGGGAGGCAGGCTGTTTTTTCTACCTAAAAATTTCATCACATACATAAATTACACTTCTGATTTAAGAGGTGGAATATTTGACACTACAGCATATTGTCTGTACTGTGATTGCTTTGTTTTTTCAAGTTTGTATTAAAAGACTCATTTCCTAGGTGCGAGAGATGCTAAAGATGAGAGATTCAAATGGAGCTCGCATGTTGACACTGATAACAGAACAGTTCATGGCTGACCCTCGTCTGTCGCTTTGGAGACAACAAGGAACTGCAATGACTGACAAGTATAGGCAGCTCTGGGATGAACTGGGTAAATGCACAGACTTCAAAATCACTTAGGTGTTCAGATGTATAATGAAGAAACAATTACATATTTGGGGTGAAGAGAAACTTTATTGTTGTACCAGGTAAAGCAGGTTAGAGTTTGCAGTTTTCCTTGTTCAGTTAAGGTTGGGGGAAATTGAATTTCTGATCTACAGCGTGAGACAATTGCAGTTAGAGGAGAGAAAGCACGGTATGAAACACGTACAATTGCAACAGGTTGTAAGTACCCAAGGTTCTAAAAAGAATAAAGCAAAAAGTGAAAGCGTAGTTACACAACTAAGGGTGAGTATATAAGCCACTAGTGCTAAACTGGAAAGGTTAAGGAAGAAATCAATTCACAACTAGAGAGAAATAGAAGGCAAAGGAGAAGATTCATTAAGACTACGAGAACATAGCAACAAGGGAAAGTAGAAGTCCGTTATGGAGCAGGAAAGGAGGTCAAATAACAGAGGGCTAAAACAATTAACAAAGCTTTGCAGGAGAGTTCAGTTGTGACCAGATACATGACATGGTGTACAACAGAGAGAGGAACACAGGCAGAAATGGGAAAGGAATATTTAAACAGGTCGGGTCTGAGGACACTTGCTCTAAAGTGTTCCAGAAACTCGCTAATACAGTTTTAGACCACTGCTTCAGAATTTCTCAAAATCTATAGGAATTTGTGGTAGGGAGGGGAAATTCGAAACAACTTGAATGTAAATGTCACCAGTATTTTAAAGGTGGGTAGGTGAGTGGAAAGAATATTAAGTAAGCAAAAGCATTGCTTTCCTAGGTATAAGGTACTGGAACAAACTACTAACCAGCTGGTATGTAAGTATGTGGAAGATAAATGATAAAAGACAACCTGAATTATTTAAAATACAGTGGTAAATCCAATTTTTTTCCCAAACAGATAATTCACTGAGTGTATGAATGAAGGGATTAATGTGTATATCTTAGCTGTAGTGGGGTTTTGGTTGCTGTCTTGGAGGCTTTCTCAAACCAAGCTGAAGACACACAGCTTAAATGGAATCACCTTATGGTTCACAGAACTTGGAGTCATTACCTGTGCTGTCACTCAATCTGGAAAGACACTTCATGTCTAGACTTAAAGGAGTCTGTCTTGAGATGTGTTCAGTATTGCTATGTTTGACTTATGTGGCATGGAACACAGAAATAAATATTAAATAACAAACAAACAAAAAATTTTACAGATGATGCCCTATGGGACTCTATGTAAACACTGCAGAGAAGAGAGCCAAAGACCATAATGCTCTTGCTTGATTTTGGACCTTTAAAATATATCTAAATGAAATTAAATCCAAACAAAAATAACATGCTTCATTTCTAAAAGAAGGAACAAAAGCGAAACTTAAGTTTTTTTACTGCTGAAGGTTAAAGATGACCATGACTGATTGCATGTTGACTGGTGGGCTAAGACTGGATATAATCTGTTCAGCGTAAATTATGTTTGCTCGAAATGAAGCGTTAAGCTAATAAGGCGCTAGCTATCTAGTTGAGATTATAGATTTCTGTGGTGGAAAACCTTAATATCAGAGCAGGCAAAGCCCTGTCAGAGAGTGTAGGTATCACTACTTGTCTTCAAGTGTAACAACCCTTTTAGTATGTCACTTTTATGATGCCTTGGCTTGTTGGGGAACAACAGTTTTTGCCAAGCAGGGCACGTGCTTAGCTGCATGTGTATGCAGGAAAATTGTATCCCGCCATACTGAAAACTGTAGGGTCTCATGCTTCATTGCTTATGTGGGTTGAGCTGGTAGGTGGTGGGAGAGGCAGAAATGTGTTCTCCATCTGTTACCTGTAGCAGTGTTACCACATGCTGCCAATAAACATAAAAGGTTTTGTTAAATTTTCTTAGTGGCTCCTCTTCTTGTTTCATATTAACATCATTTTCTTAACAGCACTTCTCTGGAGGTAGAGAAGGTGGAATCTCTCTGCCTGTGGCATAGAATGAGCAAGATTTTAGATTAAATGAATTGATTAGCTTACCTCTGTTTAATCGGAATTATAGGTGCCACTCACAAAAAGCCACAGTGCAACTGCCAGTCTCACCACTACCTCAACTGCTGTATTTGCAATCTGAGGCAGGCCCTGTTGTTTCAATCCTGAACTGCTATGCTGCCTCTAGCAGTATCAAAATACGTTGATCATGTACCATGGTTTCAATTGCAAATACATTTCAATCACTTCAGATGTGGAGTAGGATAAGGGTAGAACTTAACTTTAGTTTTCCATGACCAGCTTGTGTTTATGTTGCTAAACTTTCCATTTCTTCCCTACGTGAGTAGAATTGCTTGCACTGGTGCTTAGCAAGTTCCCTGAAAATTGTGGTTAACCGGATGAATCTCCAGTTTGGCTCCTACCTTGTGTGAAAGTTACAAGCTGCTGCTGTATCTTTGTTAGGATTTTGCCTTGAATTTCACTCAAATTAAACACATCCCTTTTTCTATGTAAAATGTGCCTCTCAAAAAAAAAAAAGTTGTTGAAGGAGATTTTAAGGGAGACCAGAGGTACACTAGCAAGCTGCAGAAGGAAGAGCAGGATGGCCCTGGCAACATATGATCTGTAGTGGCAGAGAACTCAGACATTGCGTTTAAGGGGGTGATGTTATGTTCTAAAATCATGTTGGTTTCATGTCTTGTCATCTTCTAGGATGTCAGAGAACTAAAATATCAATGTGTGTGAGACAGGCCTTTGCATACCTAACTTTTTGTATTATCTGTTCCAAGTAATCTGGGTGTGGCGTGTATGTATGTCTTTTAAAAAAAATGTTTTATCTATGATCTCATTTTATTTCACAAGTAGGTAGCAATTTAACATTGTAGTTATGGAGAATTTTAGCACATAAAAAGTATGTAAATATAGACTCTGCATAATAAAGGCTTGCTTGCTTGCCCTGGGATGCTGTGTGCAAACTGCTAGGCATATGGCCACTTTGTCAGTTCCATCTTGGCATAGGTTTTTAAGCATACTTAAATAACTTCAGCTTTGTTCATTGACTGGGTCACTTGAGCCTTTCATTAGAACTTAACTGATGCTTCCTGCCTGACATTGGGCTTTGGCAAGGGTACTGGAAAGACACACTGGGCTCTAATCAGAGTTCCTGCTG